GCTCAGTGGATTGAGTGCCAGCCTGGGAACCAAAGGGTTGTTGGTTTGATTCCCAGTCAGGGCACATGCCTGGGTTGCAGGCCACGGTACCCTGCAGGGGGCACTCGAGAGGCAACCACACACTGATGTTTCTTTCTCTAAAACTAAATAAAATCTTTTTAAAATATATTTGATTTATTTAGGGAGAGAGGGGAAGGGAGGGAGAAAGAGAGAGAAATATCAATGGGTTGCCTCTTATATGTACCCTGACCAGGGAATGAACTTGAAACCCAGACATGTGTCCTGACCAGAACTGAAGCAGTGATCTTCTGCTTTACAGGATGACACCCAACCAACTGAGACACACAAGTTAGTAGGGTCTGTATAGTGTTTTACAGAGAAGGAACCCTGTCTTTTTTTCTTTTCTATTAATAGCCATTATTTTTGTTTTATTTTTTATTTTACAAGCTTTCTTATTTCTGCCTCAGTCTACTTTAAGTTCAGCGAGTAGTCTAAAAACAAATAATCATTCATCTTTTTTATCTCCCTAAACCGTCTTCTGCCTCCTCCCAACCCCCTCCCCCCGTAATCACCATGCTGTTGTGTCTGTGACACGATAGTTTTAGGGTTAAAAAAAATTGAACGGAAAGTACAGAGAAATCTCAAAAATGAATAAATAAAATTCTCATACAATGAATTCTCATTACTGCCACTCCCCACATATACACACATACCCTCTCCCATAATTTACATCTTGCCTAAGTGTGGCATATTTATTACTTGGTGAGCTATTATTGATATAGTATTAACTAAAGTCGCCCTGGCTGGCATAGCTCAGTGGATTGAGTGCGGGCTGCAAACCAAGGTTTCACTGGTTCACTTCCCAGTCAGGGCACATGCCTGGGTTGCAGGCTAGGTCCCCACTTCGGGGCACACGAGAGGCAACCACACATTGATGTTTCTCTCCTTCCCTTCCTCTCTCTCTAAACATAAATAAAAAATAAAGTCCATAGTTTACATTGGGGACCAATCACTCTTAGTGTTGTACATTCTTTGGGCTTTAACAAATATGTAATGACATGTCTACACCATCGCTGTGTACACAGAATAGTTTCACTGCCTTAAAAATCCTGTGTGCTCCATCTGTCCCTCCCTCCCTTTCTTCTCCCTCAGCCCCTGAGAACCACTAATCTTTTTTACTGTCTCCACAGTTTTGCCTTTCCCAGAATGCATTATCATAGCCTTTTCACATTGGCTTCTTTCATTAGCAACATGCACTTAAGTTTCTTTCATGTCTTCTTGTAGCTCGATAGCTCATTTCTTCTTATTGATGAAGAGTATTTCATTGCATGGATGTACTGCCATTTGTTTGTTCATTTATCTATTGAAGGTGATCTTGGTTGCTGCCAAGTTTTGGCAATTATGAATAAAGCTGCTATAAACATCTGTATGTTTATAACAGGTATGTTTATAACAGGTCTTTGTGTGGACACAAATTTTCAGCTCCTTTGAGTTCAAACAGAGGATGCAATTGCTGGACCATATGCCCAACTGTCTTCCCAAGTGGCTGTTCCACTGTGTGTTCCTGCTGCCAGTGAATGAGAGTTCCTGTTGCTCTGCATCTCCATCAATACTTGGTGTCAGTGTCTTGGATTTTAGTCTTTCCAGTAGGTGTGTTGTTTCAATTTGTTAATCCCTGATAACATAGGGTGTTGGAGCATCTTTTCATGAGATTATTTGCCATGAGGTATCCAATCTTGCGCCTGTTTTTAAATTATTTTTTCCTGTTGTTGAGTTTTAAGAGTTATTTGTATATTCTGAATACCAGTCCTTGACGAAATATGTGCTTTGCAGAGATTTTTTCACAGTCTATGATTTTTCATTCTCTTAACTATACTTTTAAAAAATCAATTCATTTGAGAGAAATTTATTGGTACCTACTATGTACTAGATGCTGGGGATTAAAAATTAAATAAGATAGCCTTTAGATCTGTAGGGATCTCACAGTCTAGAGGGAAAAACTGACCAATAACAAGTACAAACATGTCATAGGAGCCGTGATACGCAGGTACATATAACACAGATTGGGGAACCAGGGACACAGTGCTCAACAGTACGTGTTGTGGGTCAGAGAGAGAGAGAGAGTCACAGAGAAAGGGACAGCTTGTATAAAAGCAAGGAGTTTGACCTGTTGGGAGTGTAGTGTTTTAAGAGGGGAACAGTGAGAGATGTGGCTAAGAAGAGCAAGAGGCAGATCATTGAGATTTTAAGGATAAGCATACTAATTTTTTTTAGGAAAATTATCTTGGCATCAGAGTGAAGATGATTCAGGAAAAGGTTCAACTACCAGACCAAGTAGAAGGAAAAAAAAGAGTGCCTACACTGAACTATGGGCAAGGTTTAGACTGGAGATAATTCAAAGGAGGCGCTATCATCAGGTCTTATTAATGGGTATGTGGGGGAGAGAGGAAACAAGTGGGTCATCAACAATCACTCATCTTTTTTGCTTCTCCTGAATGCATTTTGCTATATGTGTTGAGTGATATGTTGTTTCCAGTAGTAATGATGGGGAACTCAAGAGTTGGAAAATTTTAACTTTTCAGTTATAAGTAATAAACTTAATAATGAATGCATGTAAAAAGCTATGTTCCAGAGACTGGAGGTATGACCCACCCTGTCTCCAAAAGACACACAAGAAATTTGACCTTTGTGTCCTAGGAGGACTGCAAGGGGTCAAGATGGCATCTGAGCCATTGTATTCCAGGGAGAGACATCTACAGCCCAGAACAGGGATAAGATGAGAGGATGCTAGGAAAATTGCAGGACTACAGCTTTTATATGATTAACCTTTAATAGCCCTGAATTCCAAACCCCTTACCTACTTTTTTATGCTCATAAAAAAGGTCATCTTGAGATAAAGTATAAGATGGTCTTTTAGGATACTTAACCTGCCATCTTCTCAGATCTCCAGCCATCTGAATAAAGCGCCAGTAATATCCAATCCTTGTCTCTACTTACCAGTTCTGGTAGTGACAGGCAGCTCAAATGCCAACATTTCCAATGTTTCAATAAGAGCTTACTAATTTCATTTTATTTTTAATTTTAGATAATTGCCTTTAGACAATACTGATTATAAACTGTGTAAATGAGTTCAGTTTCCTAATTCCAGTTTATGTAGCTTATATACCAAGTTATGAATGGTCTGGAATTAAGGTGTGTTTATGTGATTTAATAATTTCAATTATAAACATACATACAAGGGCATATGTCTTAGGTCACAATGTAAAATGTATTTTTTTTCCTGTAGGTAGTAGTGAATAACATTGGAAAAACACTGAAGTAAAGGAAGTAAAGTTTATTATTTTCTGATAATAAGGTACTACATCTACAGCGTTAGGTCACAAAAATTCTCTATCATATACATGATACACCTCAGAGAAACCTGACTTTTAGGCTGTCTCCCAACTCACTGGTCTTAGAAAATTAATTCATTTTACGACTTGTATTGTTGTTGACCATTCTAGTAAAATATATAAACACTTCTTGATTTTACTTTTGGGTATATAAGCAAAGAAACCCAAAACACTAACTTGGAAGAATATATGCACCCTTATGTTCATTGCATTGTTACTTAAGATAGCCAAGACATGGAAGCATCCTAAGTGCCCATCAATAGAACAGTGGCTAAAAAAGCTGTGGTGCAGACCTGACTAGTGTGGCTCCATGGGCTGGGCATTATACTGCAGACCAAAAGGTCGCCAGTTCAATTCCTGGTCAGGGCACATGCTTGGGTTGCAGGTAACTGATTGATGTTTCTTTTCCTCTCTTTTTCCCTTCCTTCCCCTCGCTCTAAACTTAAATAAAATCTTAAAAATATTTTTAAAGCTGTGGCACATATATACAATGGAATATTACTTGACCATAAAAAAGAAAGAAATCTTACCTTTTGAGACAGCATGGATGGACTTAGAGGGTATTATGTAAGTGAAATAAATCAGTCAGAGAAAGACAAACACTGTATGATATCACTTACACATGAAATCTGAAGAACAACATAAGCAAACAACAAAATAGAAACAGACTCCTGGATACACAAAACCGACTGATGGTTGCCAGAGGGGAGAGGAATTAGGGGACTAGGCAAAAAAGGTGAAAGGATTAAGAAGTACACATTGGTAGTTACAAAATAGACATGGGGTATAAATAAAGTGTAGCATAGGGAATACAGTCAATAATATTATAATAACTATGTATGTGGATTCTGGAAATATTGGGGCAGCACTTTGTAAACTATATAATTGTCTAACCACTACACTGTACAAAACATTGACCATGGCTGTAAGTGAAACACACACACAAAACCTTATGATACAGGAAAAAGAAACACTTCTCTGCACACTTTTGGCCAATGAAAATTCTACCCTGCTGTCAGTGGCTGAGCCGATAGCAAACCCTGGTTGGTCATTCTCTACCAGTGATGGAAAAAGTAACTCAGTATTTGCTCAACTTTATGTTTCATCTGTAGCTTAAAGTGTTAAGTAAAAGAAAAAATATCTAGAGTAAAACATAAATTTTAACAGTGAAGATGCTTTTTACTTTTTTGTTATATACCTTCGAAAGGACTCTTCTACAATAAACATGTGTTACATTAGTAAAATTAGTGAAAAAATAACTTACTCCAAAAAATTACCTAAAAGATTCCTGGCTGGTGAGGCTCAGTGAATTGAGTGCCAGCCTGTAAACCAAAGGGTCACTGGTTTGAATCCCAGTCAGGGCACATGCCTGGGTCGCAGGCCTGATCACCAGTAGGGGGCGTGTGAGAGGCAACCACATACCGATGTCTTTCTCCCTTCCTCTCTCTCTAAAAATAAATAAAATCTTTAAAATAAAAAGATACCTAAAATATATCATTAATACCAATGATAGGAATTTGACATCATTCAGGGACAACTGATTCACATAAGATTATTAAACACTAGAATCTGATCTTATATCTCTCATGTCAAGCACAGACCAATGCATTATAACTTGGGAGATGCTCCCTTCTGGGTACCTACAAGATGTGTGCAGAAGAAGGTCAGAATATGCTTCCAAGCATCTACCTGGGCCCTAGAATGAGCACCGGGCTCCCCACCATACATCACAGGCTTTTTCATTAAAATGTGCAGGGAAGCTGGGCATGTGGAGAAGTAAGGAGGCTCAATGTAAATGCCCAGTCCCGGGGTAAGAGATGATCTGGGGTCTTTCCTTTCCACAGGCCTGTAACCATTCAGTGGCTATTTGGGCTAATAACTCACTCCTCTAGTTATGGTCATCCTGACCAACAATGAAGAGGATAGGTCCCTGAGCCTTCTCTATTGGCATCATGTAGGGGATGTCACACTCTCCTACAGTATCATTCAGCACAACCACAACGTCCAGGAGGCCTGAGAAAAGTATCTTGCTTTTCCTCATACTGTAGTCCAGTGGTGAGATGCGAGTCTCCTTGTAGCATATGGCTCTGCTTGTACTAAACACAGATCCATTGATGAAAACTGTAGCTGAGATGTTCTTCAAAAATGAGGCCATAAAGAGACAAATATCAGCCCCTGCAGAAATGCCCAGAAGGCCAATACCTGGGTCCTTTACTGGGAAGAAGGGAAAGGAGAAGGCTGAAGGGCCAAGAACCCACCACACAGAAGAAGGTTTTTCTAAATGAAACTAGGTGTGCCTCTAGCTTTAATTTATGAACTGGGCACAAGAGAATCAAACTAAGGTGATCAAGTTTCTTCCCACATAGCAAAGAATATCTGGCTGGACACAGCAAATAAATCTTGCACTCTCTGGCAAGTTTGGGAGTTGGTTACACACATTCCAGAAAATAGTTCACTAGAGAATTCAGAGTCACGGCACCTGCCGAGTTCAGGTGGGTATAACCAGTCTCAACATGCTTGAGTGTGGTAACTGCGTGGAACCATGTTCTGTTTCAAGAAGTGAAGTATTCCACAGACCCCATCTAAATATGTTAGCAAATGATTAACTTCACAGAAACAAAGTTAGATTTCAAAATCCAATTATGTCATTCTTAGCTTCTGAAATGGGTGGGCAAGTTCTGATCAAAACCCGAGACATACTCTGTTGCCAGAAGACCAAAAAAACAAGTATGCAACGCAAACAAATTAGAAACTCCATAACAAAAGAAAACTTAATGTTATTAAATAATTCCTATGATAAAATCTCACATGTATTTTATGACTTAGTCTGCATTATTAATCCATCTGACAGATAAAGTGTAAATAGTCACATAAAGTCAAGGAAGTCTCCAAAAGCAATCTCTGAAAGAACCGCTTGGCAGCACCTGGCACAAGTGAGTGCAAAGTGACACCCTCTGGAGATATATGTAGGGAACAGGATACAATAAAGGGCATTAGGAGAACCTGGGAGTGTTGAAGCATGTAGTACAGGGCTTCTTCAAAGTAGTGCAGGTTTAGGTCGCCGAACTCCTTGGGGAGAGCTTCAAAGTCATAATGACCTAGAGCTAATGTGGCAAAGCCATGGCCAGCCAGAAGGCTTGCTCGATATTCCAGCAGGCCCCCTCCAAGACCAAAGAGATCAATGATTCCTGGGAAAGGTCCAGGTCCTAGAGAATGGAATATTATAAAGGGAAGGTATCGTATAATTTAAAGATTTTGCTTTCCTTTTAGGGATCTTTCTAATTTAGTGGGTTCCTGTGAATCTAAGGGAAGAAAACAGCCTCTTGAGCCACTATTGAAAAGGAAAACAAGTTCCTTTAGAGAAGAAAAATCTACAAGGTAGCGTCTCATTGATGACTTTATCCCCGCAACCCTGGCTGACCTGGAGGCAAGAAGAGCACGGCGCACACCCAGCCCGTGCCCACCGGCTCCCGCTGCCTGCCGGGTGCAAGGAAGTCACGCTGGTGCACCACCTGGCCCAGGACACGCCCTCTCTCGGCCCTTGGCCTTCAAGCACCTCCAGCTCGAAGACAAGGGCTTTCGCACCACCCGCTTCAAGAGCCCTACAGGCCGGAGGCCCCCGCCTCCCAGCTGAGGCCCAGGGCCGCGCGCGGGTTGTGTCCAGCTCACCGCTAGCTTCGGCACAGTAGCGCGCACGGGTCCGGAAGAGCTCGCCCTTCTCGTGGCGCAGGGACACGCGCAGCGTGTCAAGCTGCCTCTGAGCCCGGCCATGTACGATCATACGCACAGGCTTTTCCCAACCGCCACTGCTTGGGTACAAGGACTCGGTGGCAGCAGACCGTGCAAGGAGCGGGGAGGCTGGGGGCGGAGCTGGAACCCAGTCCCAGTCTGTGGGGTGCGCGCCGGGAGCTGGGACCCGAGCAAGGGTTCTCAGGCTCCCTGAGCGGTCGGCGGCTGAGTGGCCTCTGGGCTCTTCAATGCAGAGGACCACGTTGGCTGGGACTCGTCTGAGGTAAAAGCAGCAGGTGGTTTTCCGGGACACGGGCGGGGACGGGGTAGGGAAAGCCTGAGCCGTGGGTGTGGCGCTGGACCCGGAGGATACTTAATAGTGTCAGGCCACTCTCACTGGCGGAAGTGAACCTTGTTGAGTAATCGATTCGTGGTGAAACCAGCAATGAGTTTAAACAGAATCCCAAGAATTCCATTCCCTCCCCGGAAAAGGGTAACGTAAAACACACACACACACACACACACACTTTTAGTGGATTATAACGTACATACAGAAAAGTGCACAAATCCTAAACATACAGTTCAACGCATTTCACACTCTGAACGTACCTGCCTAACCACTCAGATCCAGAAACCCTTCCCTAAAGGTGTGTTATCCCTGCTCCAACAAAAACGGGTTCGGGTTTTTTTTGTTTTTGTTTTGTTTTTTTTTTTTACTGCATTTTATGGGAATGAATCCTTCAGTGTGTTTTGTCTTTCTGCTTTCGCTCAGTGATGACACCAAGAACTGTTTCTTTCTCTCCGCCTGCTCCGCCATTCGTGGTATCCGAAGGTGGCTGTCAAGAGTAATCGGGGCGTAATGCTTCTTTGTTCATGTTTGGTGGGCGAGAGACAATTCCACGCGACTGAAATCACATACTTTCCCCTGCATGGAATGTTGAGGTTGGCCTAAACCAAACACAGATCACCTTCATTGTCTTTGCGTCAGAGCGCAGTTAGCTTTCCCTGAGGCCCACAGGGCAAGCCCTGAATGAAAATCAGGTCTTCTTATAAAAAGGGCCGCCAGTAATGTATGCTGAGGAAGCACTTGGAAGTATCCCTGAGAGCAGTGGAGGAGACCCATTATGACATTGATGGCTTTTTAGAAGTGAGAGCAAGAAAAGAAAAAGTTTTAAAAGATTATATTGATTTATTTTTGAGAGAGAGGGAAAGGGAGGGGGGAGGAAAACATCAATGTGTGGTTGCCTCTTGCACGCCCCCTAGTGGGAACCTGGTCCTGAAACCCAGGCATGTGCCCTGATTGGGAATGGAACTGGTGACCTTTCAGTTCAAGGGCCGGCACTTAATCCACTGAGCCACACCAGCCAGGGCAAGAAAAGAAAAATTTTAAATTCATAGAAAAGAAATATGGGATTAGCAGGAATTATGACTATTACTGGAAATAATTAAGGAAGTTGGAAGTTGACCTTTAGACTTGTTCTTCAGATTTGAACAAGGAGTGTGACATTAGAAAACACATTTTAGGAAACAAGAAGAAATTAAGCACATAGTAGCAAGATGAAAATTCTCCCTCAGTTTATCTTCAGTTCTCAAAATCAAGTGGGGATGAGAGACACTGGAAACAGGGCAGGTGAAGAGGCTTCGGGGATGCTACCCCAAATATGTCATCTTGGCATATTGATTATTTTGAGGTAAAGGCACTTGAAAAATAGCAGGTGAAAGAAGAGCCCTTATTCCCTTTTCCCCCTAAGATGAAACTCTACTAGGAAGAAGGAAAGAGTCTTATCTCCAAAAACAGGAGTTAATGCTGAAGAATGCTGCACCAGATGTTGTGAAAATAATTTCTTTTCCTTTAGTCTCCCCATACATTTTACTTTTCCACAGTTCCCATTCTGATCAACCTGGTATGTAAGTACTTAGGTTTTGCCACTTCTTCATTTTCTTGTGGAGACTTTCTGTCCATGTAAAAACAAAATTGGTATGCCTTGTCTTGTCTTTTTTTTAGGTTTATTTTTTTATTGTTGTTCAAGTACAGTTGTCTCCATTTCCCCCCACCACTCCCCCCACCCCAGCCAACCCCACCTCCCACCCTTGGTCCTACTCCTCCTTTTTTTCTTGTTAATCTGCTTTATGTCCATTTAATTCTCCAGCCCAATGGGAAACCCTAAGAGGACAGAGGTAAAATTTCTGCCTAGCAAAATTTTGGTAATGTTGGAATAGTAACAAGAATTGAAACAGAGCACAAATGGATGTTGTCAAAGTGGTGAGGATGGCAGGACATTTGTGTCATGTTCCTAGAGCCTATTTCTGATGAATCTCTCATCAAGTATGAAGGATACAATACCCTCACCAGTCAGCTCAGTCAGCAGTTTGTCCTGACACCCTAAACAACTGATGCAGAGATGAGAAGCCCCAGAGTGAGCGTTGGCTGATTGTGAGTCTGAGGAAACCATGTATTTTTCTACTCTGGGCAAGGAATTGTCTAATTTCTATTAGTCAGCAAATGAAATAACTCAGTATCTATGTTAATATCACCATAGAAGTAAGAGAAAAAACAAAAACAAAGTATTGGACGCTGGCGGACTTCAACATGAAAGTAGAAAATGAGAAGTTTTCTATGAAAAACTTAAGAAATTATACTGGTTTAACAGTTTACAAGTTCTTAAAACTCCAGTGAGCTGGTCAACTCTGCCACCACTCTCCACAGTTCCCAGTTGGTTATCCTGCACAGAGCGTGGGTGGGCTTTCCTGGAATTCGTGATGATACACCTGCAGAACATAACAGTGTGTGTGCGAATGGGAATGAACATACACAAACATGCATTCTACTGGGTGGATGAGAAGAGGCAGCAATTGATGGACAAATGGCTCTGGGTCCAAATGCAATGAAGGGCCCAGAGACAAGGGAAGCAGCTTAACAAAGAGAAGAAAGAGGATTTGGGGATACCGAGCCCCAGTTCTGTGTTTCCTATGTGAAGAACTTCTCTGAGACTTGGTTTCCTCCTGGGTAACGTGAAGACGGCACTTCCGTTACACAGATGGCGAGGGTTGAGTGACAAGCATGCAGTAGTAGACAAGAACAAGCTGACTAAACAAACTCCACTGTACTGTTTACAGGGGGGAAATGTCAAGAATTGCTTTGTTAAAAAGATAATTGAGGAAATAACATCATAGCCATAAGTTAATTTATTTAAAGTAAAAAATGCCTTAAGCTTTAAGAAAAGTTTAGTAAGCCTGTTATGGTACTATTTATATCAAGTGATATAAATACTCATTTGTTCATTTATTCATTATTTACTTTAATAATCACTTATGTAATTCATCTAATATTTTGCCAGCTTTCAAAACAACTAAATCATAAAGGCCCATATGTGTAAATAGAAACATACCTTGAAATGTATTTGCACTAGGAAAATACTTACTCATCCAAGGAGAAGACATTGAGGAACTGAAAATATATTTGCTATGAAAAATTTTAGTAGTCTCACATCTAGTAATAATTTAGTAATTTACAGCTAAGATGTTCGCTTCCATTCTTGAAGGAAAAACTGAAATCTGGTAATATTTTTTATATTATGTGCTTTTCTTCTATGGTAAGTAATCACTTATTAATTAAATCAAGTTAGTTACTAACCAAATTCAACAATAGTAAATAATTAAATAATTACCGAGCACCATTATGTACAAGTTACTGTTAATCAGTGTTACTCACTTTTCCTTTCAGACCTAAAGCCGTGTGGTTTTTTTTTAATTTTTTTATTGATTATGCTGTTACAGTTGTTCTATTCCCCCCTTCATTCCCCTCCACCCTACCCCCCATCCCCACCATTACCCCCCCTTTAGTTTATGACCATGTGTCTCAAGTCCTTTAGATTCTATATTTCCCATGCTATTTTTGCCCCCCCATCTATTTTCTTTTTTTTTGGGGGGGGGGGTTTGTTTTTATTATTTTTTAAATTTTATTTAGTTATTTTTCAAGTACACTTTTTTGTCTATTTCTCCCCTCCCAGCTCCCCCCCCCCGCCCCGTGCTCCCCACCTGCCTCCCATTTCCTCCCACCCTAGTCCTCATCCCTGTGTCTTTCATACTTGTTCCTCAAAATCCCTCCCCTTTTTCCCCCTTAAATTCCCTTCCCTCTCCCCTCTGGTCACTGCCCACTTGTTCTCTATTTCAGTGTCTTTGTTTTTATTCTGTTTGCTTGTTTGTTTTGTTGTTTAGCTTCCTGTTAAGGGTGAGATCATATGGTATTTTTCTTTCAACGCCTGGCCTATTTCACTCAGCATAATGCTTTCCAGTTCCATCCATGTTGTTGCAAAGGGTCGAAGCTCCTTCTTTCTCTCTGCTGCATAGAATTCCATTGTGTATATGTACCACAATTTTTTTTTATATTTTATTTTATTTTATTTTATTTAACTATTTACTTTTTTTTTATTGATTATGCTGTTACAGTTGTTCTATTCCCCCTTTATTCCCCTCCACCCTACCCCCCATCCCCACCATCACCCCCCCCTTTAGTTTATGACCATATGTCTCAAGTCCTTTAGATTCTATATTTCCCATGCTATTCTTGCCCCCCCATCTATTTTCTATCTACTGTCTATGCTACTTATTTTCTGTACCTTCTCCCCCCTTCTCCTCCTCCCACTCCCCTGTTGCTAACCCTCCTTGAGATCTTCATTTCTATGTTTTCACTCCTGATCTAGCTGTCCTTTTAGTTTGCTTTTGTTTTAGGTGTGGTTGTTAATAACTGTGAGTTTGTTGTCCTTTCACTGTTCATGTTTCTTTAACTTCTTTCTCTTAGATAAGTCCCTTTAACATTTCATATAATAAGGGCTTGGTGATGATGAACTCCTTGAATTTGATCTTATCTGAGAAGCACCTTATCTGTCCTTCCATTCTAAATGAAAGTTTTGCTGGATAGAGCAATCTTGGTTGTAGGTCTTTGGATTTCATGACTTGGAATACCTCTTTCCAGCCCCTTCTGGCCTGTAAGGTCTCTTTTGAGAAATCTGCTGACAGTCTCATGGGGACTCCTTTGTAGGTGACTGTCCCCTTAGCTCTTGCTGCTTCTAGGATTCTCTCCTTCATTTTAATTTTGGCTAATGTAATTATGATGTGCCTTGGTGTGTTCCTTCTTGGGTCCAACTTCTTTGGGACTCTCTGAGCTTCCTGGATTTCTTGGAAGTCTATTTCCTTTGCCAGATTGGGGAAATTCTCCTTTATTATTTGTTCAAATAAGTTTTCCACTGGTGGCTGTGCCTTTCCCCCTTCTGGTACCCCTATAATTCGGATGTTGGAGCGTTTAAAGATGTCCTGGAGGTTCCTAAGACTCTCCTCACTTCTTTGAATTCTTGCTTCTTGACTCTTTTCTGTTTGGCCATTATTTGCTTTCTTCTGGTCCACTCCATTGATTTGAGTCCCAGTTTCCTTTTCATTGCTATGGGTGTCCTGTGCAATTCCATTCATTTCAATTAGTTTCGCCTTCATATATTTGTCTAATTTGTCGGCTATAATCAACCAGTTCTGTGAGGATCCTGATGACCAGTGTTTTAAACTGTGCGTCTGAGAGTTTTGCTATTTCTTCATCGCTTAGATCTATAGATTCTGGAGCTTTGAGATCTTGCGACATTTTTGGTCTGTTCTGGCCCTTTAAGTGTGAGAAGCGGTGCCTTGGACTCCCAGGTCGCTGGGTTGTGACGCTGTATGTGGGGGCGTGGTCAGAGCGGGGAAATGGCGGCGCCCTCCACTGCCGCTTGCCGTGGGGACCCGCTGGGCCCCGGTCCAACCGCCCACTCCCTTGCCTGTCCACCCGCGCACAAATGCGCGACCACAGTCAACACGCAGCACCGCTCCTCCGCTGTCTCCCCCGCAGTCGCTCGACTGGTGGCTCGCTTGGTCGCTCACTAGGTCCAACCCTGCGCCTGGATTCTGCGCGTCTGGATTCCGCGCCTGAGTCTGGCTGACCGAGTCCTCCTGTGCAACCGCTCACCAGCCACTGGTTTCGCCCCTTACCAGTCAGGCTGAAGAATTTGTTGTTAACGGACTTCTGAAAAGTTCAATTTTCCGTGTTCTGGCTGTGTTTTCTGTTGCTAATATTTAGTTGTCGCTAAACTTGGTTGTGTGAGAAGGCACGGCACATCCACCTATGCCTCCATCTTGGCGGAAGTCCAAGCCTTGTGTTTTGTGAGAGACTAAAAGGTATGCTGTTTCTATCTGTTGTGTTTTTTGTTGTCATTAATTGTTTTATTGTTGTTCTATTGCAATTGTCCCAATTTTCCCCCATTGGTCTCCCCTGACCCGCCCCCCTTGGTTGTTGTTAATTTTTACAAGAGTTTATTTAGGGTGGTGGTGAGGAGTGGAAGGGGCTTCATACATGGTGACGAAAGACGGTGTGACTTTGGGTGGTGGGCACACAATGCAATGTACAGATCTTGTATCATAGCCACGTACCCTTGGAACCCATAGGATCCCATTAACCAACATCACGCCAATAACTTAATAAAAAATTGAAAAAAGTTGATTTGAGCCAAAATGAGGGCATACGCCTAGGAGCAAGATCTCAAATGCTCTCCATCTATTGTATTTTCTGCAGAATCCCTTTCCTCCCAAACAACTGAAAGGGACGTAGTTTATTAAAATCTTGGAAACTCATTGCTTAGTTCATTTTAACAGTGAGGAGGGAAGAACTCTTCAGTAATTATTGAAAAGAAAAAGACTACAGCCCTAACTGGAGCGGCTCGGTTGGTCGGGCATTGTCCCACAAAGCGAAAGGTTGCTGGTTCCATTCCTGGTCAGAGCACATGCCTGGGTTGCGGGTTTGGTCCCTGCTTGGGGCATGTATGAAAGACTGCAGATGGGTATTTCTCTCTCACATTGATGTTTCTTTGCCTTGCTTTCTTCCCCCCTTCCCCTCTCTAACTAAGTAAGTAAAATCTTTAAAAGAAACTACACATGCACACTAATTGTAAGAGATGTTCCCAAGATTAATTAGCACCAGAGATGCCACATAATCAAGTAAAAGAGTACAGTTTTGGTGGGATTACCCCCTTTTCCCCACCCAGGTGTTTGTGGAAGAAAATCTGGAGCTGCTTCCAAGCATCCACCTGGGCCATGGCATGAGCCCTTGGCTCCCCACCCCAGATGGTAGGTCTGCCCACCAAAATGTGCAGGGAAGCGGGGCACATGGAAAGTAAGGAGGTTCAAAATAGTGTCCCACCTCGGGGTAACAGATGATCTGGGGCTTCTGCTTACCATGGACCTGTAGGCGTTTAGAGGCTTCATTAGCATAAAATTCACTCTTCCATTTGCACTCTTAGCCCTTTCCACAGGAATGAAGCTCTTCTTCTCAGGTCCTTCCAAAGGGCTGTTCAGGACATCCAAAATGTCTACAAGGCCGTCTTTGGTTACCTTGATGCGATTTTGGTTGAAACCTAGCGGGGGCAGGGTCTTGCTCTTGTAGCGTAAGTCTCCTATAATATTGGCCACTGAGCCATTGATTATGACACTGGCAGTGATGCTCTTCAGGAACGATGCCATGGAGAGGCAGAGATCACCTCCTTTGGAAATCTCAAGCAGCCCGACTCCTGGGCCCTTTACCTGACATAAAGACAGAGGAAAAGAGTGAGTCCATGAACCAGCCTACTGCAGCACCTAGAATTGGAAGTCAGTTGGAGCCGAGCCTGCATCTGGGCTCCACCCTCTACCACAGGCTGCAGCCATGGGATATCTTCTTATTCTCCCTTCCCACAGTTTCTCCATCACCTTTGTTGTGACTTCAACAACCAGGTGGATGATGTACTGAATACTTTGGCCTCTCAGTTCCTTGACCTTCATACCTCCAGTGATATTTTTCTCTACCCCACCCAAGCCACCCTCTCCCACTGCCATAACCTAAACCAAGTTCTCATCAGTAAGTACCTCATCTTCAAAATCTCAGCTGCCAGCATTCTACTTTCTAATCACCATCTTCCATACTTCCAGTTTGGCCATTTTAGTGCTACCTGTTTCCACCTACCACTTTTTTTGCTGTCAGTATCTCTCTCATGTTCACTTCCCACCTCATCTAGCTTAGATTTTAGCTTCATTGTTATTATCACTCCCTTTCAAGTGTTATTATCACTCCCTTAGCTGATACCTCTCTTCCTTTGGTCATACTTGCCTGGAAAAGCGATAGCCTTGGGTAAATGCACCTATTTTCTTCCTGTAGGCCTCTATTTGTGTACATGGACATTGCTGGAGAAGAAATGTTCTATTTGATGACCACAAACTTCAGATATGCATCCATACTACCTATGAGCCCTGCCACACTTCACTGTTTGCTTTTCATATCTCCCAAAGACAATTTCGCACATTCTCGTACCTTCTCAAGCCTCTTGAACCCCTATTTCCCTTCACTTTCATCTCTTCATACTTCATGGGGAAAATAGAAGCTCGCCAGTAGGTACTCTTCCTCATTTCCCCCTGCCAAAGCTACTAGTTCCAAATGAACTCAAGTTCTCTGCCTTCCCTCCTGCTTCCCAAAGAAGTGTCTCTGTTCTTATCAAAGGCCACCTCTCTGCTTGGCTTGGGATTCCGTCCACTCTCATTCTAATAGATCTTGCTCCCACAGATACTGCTCCTCCTTCATAACGTTCTCTCCTGGCTCATTCCTGTAAGTGTACTTCATGTTCTAGTACCTCTTATATTTTAATGACAATTCTTTGACCCCACATCCACTCTGCCATAGTTTTTTACTCTCTTTCACAGCAAAATTTGGGGGAGAAGTTGTCTGTAGTTGTTCTCCTCTTTCTTGTCTTCCATTCTCTACACAGTCCCCTCCAGGCTAATTTGGGTTTACAGTATTCTGCAAGGACTGCTCTTGTCATAGTTGCCAACATCCTGTATTGTAAATGGCCATTTGACCTCTTGACAGCAGTCTTTTTCTTTGTGTAGCCTCTACCATAGCACCCTAGACTGGTTTAAAATGTTTATTCTTTATAGAAGTGCTAGAAATTAAATGATATTATTATCCCAGTTTTTCAAAGGAGGAAACAGAAGCTAGCCTTAGAGCTAGTATTTGGTGAAATCAAAACTCAAATTTAGCCCTGGCTGATGTGGCTCGGTTGGAGCGGCATCCCATAGATGGAAAGGCTGTGGGTTTGATTCCCAGTCAGGACAGACACGTAGGCTGTGGGTTAGGTCCCTGGTTGGGGTGAGTACAAGAAGGCAGCCAGTCAATGTTTCTCTCTTACATCAATGTCTCTCTCTTTCTCCCCACCCTTGCTCTCTCTCTAAAGACAATTAAAAAATATCCTTGGGTGGGGCTAAAGTAAATAAAATAAAACCCTCAAATTTAACTTTTCTATATCCACTTTTTTTAATTGTAGCCAAAATGGCAAAATATCAGTAGAACTTGGTGAGGCAGAGAGTCCAGATGTTGATGATGTCATCTGGTCTCCTGAACAGACCTGTGCCTGAGCCTAGCCCATACCCGTGACTTTTCAGTTATGAGACAGTGGGTTCTCCTTCTGCTTTAACAGTTGAGGTCGAGTTTGCTGTTGCCTGAAATGGGAAGACTCCTGATACAACTACTAACAAAGAGCCAAGTAGATTGATTGAATTTCCATCTCCTTTCAGTCCCTCTTCCAAGTTTTGAAAAAAATGAATAAAATTGAAGGGAGGAAGAAAACAAAAAGGAAGAAAAGGAAAGAATGGCAAACAGTAGTTAGGCTTGAGTTACTTGAACAAAAGGATTGTGTGTTTTTACACTTCCTTGTTCAGAAACCTGTGGCATGGCCCACGTTCATCTGTGTCCTGAACCAACCCAGTTGTTCTCCTGGGCTACCCTTAAGCTACCAGGCCATAGCCTGGTCTTGTACTTACTTCTGCATCTTATTCTAGTTCCACTCTACTCTATCACTTTTTGTAACGGCTCCTGTGCTTCCCTATTGTAGAATAATCTTCTGATCCTCTGATTTCCTTAGCCTAGAAGCCTCCGGACATTTCTTAGTGACCATCAAAGAACCTTTAAAACTTAATACTGTGCTCTCAGAAGGAGCACAAGGAAGAGAAGAGAGGGCTGTTAAACATTAAATTGAGGCTGTCTGGAGGTAGCGATTCCTTCCCCCTTTCTTTCTACTTCCTGTGAAACCTGGTCTTCTCAGATGTGTTAGGGCTCATTATGAAATACCATAAAATACTAAAATTTAAAATTTCATAATGCCAGCTAAGAACTAATGTACCTGCAGGAAACTTATCACAGTAATACGTAATTGCATAGAAACCGTCTATGAGAAGTGACTATAAAAGGTAGCATATTGGGGGCAGGAAGTGGCTGTCATGAATTTGTCTAGTTCTTTTCGTTTTTTTTAAGATTTTCTTTTTTAAAGATTTTATTCATCTCCAGAGGGGAAGGGATGGAGAGAGGGAGAGAAATATCATTGTATGGTTGCCTCTCGTGTGTCCCCTGCTGGGAACCGGCCTGCAACCCAGGCATGTGCCCTGACTGGGAATTGAACCACAATCCCTTGGTTCGCAGGCCCATGCTCAATCCCCTGAGCTACACCAGCCAGGGCAGATTTTCTTTTTAGTGGGGGAGAAAGAGAGGGAGAGAAACATCAATGTGTGGTTGGTTCTTGCTCATCCCCTACTGGGGACCTGGTCTACAACCCAGGCATGTGCCCTGACTGGGGATCAAACCAGCAACCCTTTGGTTCTCAGGCCAACACCTCCCACTCATCTATCGATGGACGCCTTCTGTCTACTGTGCATATGCTGCTATTGAATGTCGGCATACAGATATCTACGAGCTCTGCTTTTAATTCTTCTGGGTGTATACCCAGAAGTGTAGTTGCTGGATCACATGGTAATTCTGTGTAATCTTTTCGAGGCACCTTAGCCAAGGTTTTAATATTTAATTTTTTGAAAAGTCTTTTAGTCTTTTCATCTCAGAGAACATGCCCTTTCACCCTTTTGTGAGGGTCCCAGGGTCTGAGCACAGCTTAAGCCCAGGTACTAAATGCTGATCAGTATGAGTGGCCTGAATAGCGCAGCCCCAGGTCAATTAGAAAGACAGAACCTCGGTTGAAGAGGGTAAAGGAGTCAAATATATGGTGATGGAAGGAGACTTGACCCAGTGCAATATACAGATGATGTATTATGGCATTGCACACCTGAAACGTATTAACCAATGCCACCTCAGTAAGTTTAATACAAAAAAGATTTGCATGCAAACTTTAAAGATATTACCGACAATAAAAACTTTTGAAGAAGGAGGAGGAGGAAGAGGGGGAGGGGGAAGAAAAGAACCTTACATCTAGAAATCTTCCCTGCTGTCAGGACAAATAGGTATTTTCACAAGGAGACTTCTCAAGACCAATCATCTATAAGTCTAGAATTTTACTATTAAAAAGACAAGATTTGAAGAGTTCTCTTGTACAGAGAGTAATATTTGCTGATAACTAGCCATGATCTGGGGAGCAGGGAAGATGGAATTGAACTATGTGAAGGAAACAGATTAAATAGGGGCACAGATGAGAGAGGAATGGAAAAGATCCCAATGCCCTGGCCAGGTGGCTCGGTTGGTTGGAGCATTGTCCCATACACCAAATGGTTGTGGCTTCAATTCCTGGTCGGGGCACCTACCTAGGTTGCAGTTCATTCCCCAGTCAGAGTACCTATGAGAGGCGACTGATCCATGTTTCTCTCTCTCTCTCTCTCTAAAATCAATAAATATATAACTTTGGGTGAGAATTTTAAAAAGTGGGGTGAAGACTTTACCACTTGTTCTACCAGCCTGGATATCTGAAGCATGCCAGAGCTGGGTGTTTACGTGTTTCCAGCCATGTCACGGCTCTGTAGGTCTTATGGTCCCCTGTGGGGGGAAATGTTGAGCTACATAGACCTAGAGGTTTATTTTTCAAAGGATGACCGTGAGGTTCATTTTGCCACCAATCAATAAATATAATGCCATTTCCCAGAGCTTAGCTCATGAAGAAGACAAGACAATAAATCATTGAAAATACCCCTGACTGAACCCCCAGGTCCTGTGAGCAGACTCATGGAATCCTAAAGAGGAGGCTGCCTAGTAACCAGTGTAAAGGGTTTTGGAGCCCAGGAAACTGAGGAAGGTTCCGGATGTAGAAACTTGCTTCTCTTTGAAGACTGTGTTGTGGGAGGCCATTCTGAAGGTAATTTCAAAACTTACCCATGTCTGAAAGCAGCTTATTAGCTCAGCTGAATGATGAGAGGCAGTCTGAAATATGGGTGAGAATTTTTGGATGAGCTATCAAATGGTCAGTATTGCTTCAAGTGCTAACCTGTACTGTGATCTTAGTCATGTCTCTTCTCTCAGTTTTGAAACTTGAACATAAGAGAGTAGGAACAGATCATCTTTGTGGTAGAGTTTTCAGGAGATAGCAGTGTATCTGTGTACGTGCATGGCAAGGAAAGGGAATTAGAAAGTAGAGGGAGAAAAATGAAAGAAACTTTCTGATGGGAAATAGGCAGCAGAGAGGGGATTTGAAACAAGTCAGGTTGGGAAGCTGTGGTCCCCAGGCCGCCTCTCCCACCAACCAAGCTTCTTTCCTACTTCCCACAGGGATCTCGTGGGGCTGTGGTTTCTCTAATGTGTATAAAACCCTCTGAGAGCTTGTTAAAATGCTGTGTTTTAGGCCTCACTTGCAGCCTACTTAATAAAATATTCATTAAATTTTTTATTGATTGATTTTTAGAGGGAGAGGGATAGTCAAGGGTGGGGGGCAGAGAGAAAGAGACATGAATATGTTGTTTCACTTATTTTTTTATTCATTGGTTGATTCCTCTTCGTGCCCCGACCAGGGATAGAACCTGCAACC